AAATGTAATGCATGTGGGGGTACAGATCCCTTAAATTGTAGTAGGTGATACTTTGGATTTCAAAGGACAGCAAAGTGTAAAAAAGGGTTGATTAATCTGTTGTAAATATGTTGCAGTGTGGATGACAGATCCTATGTACCAGATCTTCACCCATTGTCAAATGGCAAATTTGAGTCGTTTAGCCACGAATCCGCCGGCCGCGTTTGGAAAATCAGGTATATATTTTCCAGAATTACAGTTCTTGGGCCCCTACTTAAACAAGAAGGGGTCCTACACAGATGCCAGCAAGGAAATGAGTGAGCTATCAAGTCCAATATGACTCAGTTTTTAGCAAGCCGCTAACCAGACTGAGAGTCGAAGTCAAGATGAAATTTTTATGAGAGAAGCCACGAATTGGTTAACACAAGCCTATCATATGTATCCTGAGCCAAATGGACTTCGAACAGGCGATAAATGACATGCATTGCACTTCTGCCCAGGGCCGCTCATGGCACTCCGTGTTCTAAGAACTGCAAGAATCCCTATCACGAGCCATTACCATCTATGAGAGGGAGCATGGAACACGGGGGGTCGCCCACAGTTACTAAAAACAACAGACATAGCCCCACTTCCACAAAGGGGGCTGTAAAGCAACAGCAAAGCAACTACAGCCAATAGCACTAACATCCCAATTTCATAAAAATTTTGAAAGGGTCCTAAGAAGCAAGATCACCACCATCTAGAAAAACTCATAGGGACACAACCCGGGCAACTGGGGTTTAGAACAGGTCGCTCTGTCTGTCTCAACTATTGGATCACTACGACAGGTCTAGATGCACAGAAGACAAAAAAGAAGTGCAGATGTAATATATTTAGACTTTGCAAAAGACTGCGACAAGTGTGACCATGGCGAATAGCGCAACAAAATGCGTGCTAAAGGAATAACAGGAAAGTCGGTCGATGGGGGGATCTTAATTTCTCACTTAACGAACACAGAGAGTAGTAGTCAACTGAGTTAAGTCCAAGGCAGCTACCGGTGAAAAGCTCTGTTCCACAAGCACAGTCTCGCTTCCCATCTTGTTCTCATCCTCAATATCTGACATAGACAAGGATGTTATTTTTTTTTCAGCCACAGCACTGTGTTTCCTTTGCGATGACACCCGAATCTGCATGACAGTGTCTTCATTGCAGACACGGCAGGCTCCCGGCGGACATAACCCATCTTTTCCTTGGGCTCAGAAAACAATATGAAGTTAACGATGAGAAATTTCAATTACTCAGATATGGTAAACAGAGGAAATTAAACTTCATCAGGTACAACCAAATTCTGGCCACAAAATAGAGCGAAAAACACGTCAAAGACCTGGGGTGATCATGTCGGCGGATCTCACCTTCAAGGACCATAACATTGTATCAATCGCATCTGCTAGAAAATGACAGGATGGATAATGGAGAACATCAAAACTAGGGAGGCCAAGGCCCATGATGACACTCTTCAGGTCACTTGTTCTATCTAGGCTGGAATATTGCTGCACACTAACAGCACCTTTCAAGGCAGGTGAAATTGCTGACCTAGAAAAATGTACAGAGAACCTTCACGGTGCGCATAACGGAGGTAAAACACCTCAATTACTGGGAGCGCTTGAGGTTCCTAAACCTGTATTCCCTGGAACGCAGGCGGGAGAGATACATGATTATATACACCTGGAAAATCCTAGAGGGACTAGTACCGAACTTGCACACGAAAATCACTCACTACGAAAGCAAAAGACTTGGCAGACGATGCAACATCCCCCCAATGAAAAGCAGGAGTGTCACTAGCACGTTAAGAGACCATACAATAAGTGTCAGGGGCCCGAGACTGTTCAACTGCCTCCCAGCATACATAAGGGGGATTACCAACAGACCCCTGGCAGTCTTCAAGCTAGCATTGGACAAGCACCTAAAGTCGGTTCCTGACCAGCCGGGCTGTGGCTCGTACGTTGGTTTGCGTGCAGCCAGCAGTAACAGCCTGGTTGATCAGGCTCTGATCCACCAGGAGGCCTGGTCACAGACCGGGCCGCGGGGGCGTTGACCCCCGGAACTCTCTCCAGGTAAACTCCAGGTAGTTATATGTAAATAGATGGCCATACTGTATTTAATAAAAATTTTTATAAAAAATGGGAAACTGCACCTGTGCAGAGGAGACTCGCCATTGTTTTTTGAATTGAGTAACAAACGTTAGTGAATATTGGGAAGAATTTTCGTGCTCTACAGGTAAAATTGGGCTGACACCTCTCAAATAGGAGCCGAAATTGTTGGATGTGCATTCCTGCATAACTTGAGATATCAGGCGACTGGACAAGACAGCTCCAGGAACCTCAGATAAGTCTGTTAATGTTTAACTCTGGCCAGTGTTATTTTCATGCATAGACAGTGAGGTTTTCTGAGTATGATACACCTTAATCTCCAGTCAAATTGGTGAGTGATATTAAGATATATTCTCCTTCTGTTATGTAAATTGTATATATATATATATATATATATATATATATAATCAATTATTAATTTTAATATACAGTCCACAAAGTTATATATTTACCAGAATTCCTGGTGATACATATTTCATTTGTAATTAATAGGTCTAGAGCAACTTGTGGATAAGACAGTTGTAGGTATCGAAGGGGGACATTTTTGCGACCTAGGTGTCCCAAATTCCTACTTGTCTATGTAACTGATAAATAATAATTATCTTTGTTATCATTTACTGTTATGTACATAATGAGTTACATTCAGATAAATGTAATTTTCCACACCTTCCTTAGCTCTGGATCTCCAAAATACATTCGATTTAACTCTATTTACTCTTTCCCATCAACATTCCTCCATCTCTTTTAGCAATAAATGTCAATGCAATACCTAATATACAGCATTACCTCTGCGGTGTTATACTACTGATGGTCCAGCAATTACCAGGGCGAAATAAAAAAAAAAACTAAAATATTGAGTATAGAATATGGAAAAAGGGGTTGAGAATTAAATTCCAACACGAACATACTTAACTTCCTGGAAAAAATATAGTATAGGGTTTTGCCGCTGCCATGACAAGCACTGCTAGAATTTTTAGCTAGGTTTAGATGTACCTCTAGCTATGTTTAGCTCTACCTCTAGCTATGTTTTGCTCTACCTCTAGCTATGTTTGGCTCTACCTGTAGCTAGTTTTACGTCTTCCTCTGCCAGGTTTTTGTCTCTCAAATCAAGTATTTGTCCCTTGATAGGAGGAAAGGTTTGGTCTCCCCTCTAGTCAGGTTCTGGTGGTCTAACTAGAATTAGCTCTACCTCTAGTCATTTGATCCTCTCTGTGGCAAGACTTGGTTCCTCCCTCTAGCCAGGCTTGACCCTCACTCTGGCTGTACTTGGCCCTATCTTAAACCAGACGCTGGTTTCTTTCTAGGCAAATTTTGATTATCCTTTAGTCACGCTTGGTTGTTCTCAGGCACGGGACAACATAATGTACAGTAATGACGACGATTAATTTCAATGTCTCCGGTTAGGCTGGTATGGGAATCGAGTTGAGATGTTAGTTGAGGAGGGGAGTGGGGGAGCGGGGTCGTGAGGCTGATGAGGGCAGGCGGTCGTGAAGTTGAGGAGAGGAGTGGATCGTGAAGCTGACGAGGAGGGGGGCGTGAGATTGTGAAATTTACAAAGTTTTAAGATCAAAAGGTCATGTAGTGCTAGAGGCTCACAGATACAACACACTACATTCACAGAACTCAAAACACGAATATACTAACACTACGAGTCCTTAGGACAAGAAAGAAAATATGTTTAAAAATGCGCTAGTCACTAAAAAGCTTGATAAAATCAACCGTATGAAAAGATTATCCTTTTGAAATGTCAGTGGTCTCTAAGGACACCTCAGTGGTTCTGAAACCCAGACCTAAACTGGTAAGGGCAGAACCTATAAAATATTATTTACATATGTATCACTATCAGCTGCATACGTAGATAAATGGATCAGAGAACCGACAAGTTGATAAATTAGACACATGTGCAATACTTGGGTATCTTTACTGAGGAAACGTTTTGCAACACAGTGGCTTCATCAGTTCAATACAAAAAAGAATGGTGAAGGTCAGAAAGAGTTTGAGGTAATCGGTCCCTCAACCTGGAATCGGTGTAATCAGTACATCAATAAAAACTTACGCTGTTTTCTGTTTTTCACCCAAGATGCGGTGCTGAAAGTTTGAAAGCAATCAGAAGAAGCTCTCTCTAGATACAGCATGGAAATCCTACAGAAAGGAAAACGAAAAAAAAAATCGAGAACCACTATAGGTATCCCTCTCGGTGATACTCATAGTACTGGATGGATTATTATTATTATAATCAAAAAGAAGCGCTAAGCCACAAGGGCTATACAGCATTACTGGATGGAGCAACCTTTCCATCACTAATGAGCCAAAAATTTATCTAACATTTTTGTCAATACCACAAAAATGTAGCCAGCCAGCTACCGGACTGTTTAAAGAATCACCATCTGCCAGGGTCAGTCACAGTAAACTAGGTGACTAACCAATGTCAACTGCGGCTATTGCTACACTCCATGTTCATGCAGAGATCAAGGCAAGTCGCTTTTGCTGAAGAATGAGGAGAGGGATAAGGTTCCTCGCTAATTCTTGACAAAAAAAAAAATATATAGCTAAAGAAAAATGTGAAATTTCCTTCAGAATGTAGCCTAAAGGTTTTTCCAATCCATCACAAAATTCCAGCGCTTTCAACAATACAAACAACAGTACCACTAGGTGCATAACTACTTAAGTTATAACTTTTCCATCCACACTTCTGATATCGGAATGATCCGTTCTTCTTCATCTGAGGCGAGAATCAACCATAACACTGAAACTCATATGAACGTGGGGATCAAAACAATGATCCCATTCATATTCTTGGGAAATAGCTATTCTGGCTGAAATAGGATGCTAGGCTCAGAGGGACGTTGCTAATTTCTGGGGGACGTATCTAGGCTCAAGAGGACTACTTACCTGACGGAGGGGTGGATGGTTGGCGGGTCACTGGTGTCTTGCTGCTCCAGGTGAGGTGTTAGCTCTACCTCATCGTCCGCCTGATGATGGAGAACTCACAGATTATTATTAGATGTAATTTTCTTAAGAGAAAGCGGTGACAGTAAGTTAAAGTTACTGGTGAGGGTGAGTCTGTCCTGTAGCCGGAAATGTTAAATGTAACATAATGAGGCAGCTTTGCAAAGTCAACATATCGTGAGACACTGATCAATTTACAAGCTGATACATCCACATTTTTTATGCTCCGTGACATATTTAAAAATAATAAAGCTCCAATAAACAGTGGCATAACTTAATAGGGATAAAATCATTCAGTAATCATGATTAACTTAGTCTAAAAAGCTATCACTAGCGGATATGTAGAAATTAACTAATTTATCTAAAAATATATATTTACATAAATATAAATTCTGAAATGACCGACTAAGGAGAGGCTAAGAGTAAAATCTAACTTCAAAAATCGTAAAATATATTTTGAAACAATTCAGAATTTAGATTGAACATTCCAACTAGAGGACAGCGTGACCTGTGGTACTGCATGAAGTACAAGCAAACGTGTGAGAAATATGCATACTTGACTAATATGGAGAACATTACCTAAATCTTAGGCGATAGATACAGAAAGACCCAAGGCTGCCGTGCAAGCAGGGTGTGTATACCTGGGGTGTGAGGTTGTAGTACTGTGCTTGGCAGGGTGGCAGCCCTACCAGGAGGGGTGAGTGAGGCGGTGAAGCTGGCAAAGGAGTGTTAGGTGCTGAGTCTGCCGGTAGGGGCGTGCTAGATCGTGAACTTGTTTGGAGATTTGGACTAGGTGATGACCCTGTCAGCAGAGGCGGGCTAGGTGATGACCCTGTCAGCAGAGGAGGGCTAGGTGATGACCCTGTCAGCAGAGGCGGGCTAGGTGATGACCCTGTCAGCAGAGGCGGGCTAGGTGATGACCCTGTCAGCAGAGGTAGATTAGGCAGTAGCGCTGTTAACAGAGGCAGGCTAGATGATGACCCTGTTATCTGAGGTGGGATAGGTGGTGACCCTTTCAGCTGTGGGACAGGTAGTGACCCTGTCAGCTGAGGTGGGCTAGGTGATGGCTCTGCCAGTTGAGGTGGTGACCCTGCCAGCAGGGGTGGAGGATCACTGGGTGGGAAGAGAAGAGGGCTAAAGGTGTACCCTGATGACAGAGTCACCCCGGGCGGTGTGAGTGACAGCAGAGGCACGTCCTCCTCACACAGTTGCTGGTGCTGAACTCCTGCAGGATCACCACCAGGCAACAGATCCTCGCTCATGCACAGAGATTCATCAGAGCTGATCAAGCAAAATGATATTACTCATTGGAAAGCCCTGGTAAACATTCTAAACGGCAAGTTTGCCAGAAAATACACACCTAAGATTAGGATACTAGCAGGTCAGTGGAGTCTTTAATTTGTAATCTTAATAATCTGGTTAAAATTTTGGGTCATTAAAATTATATCAATTTAGGAAATAAAATCAGAATGGCCGAAAAACATTGTTTTTAATGGTTGTTGCCGGTATCGTTTGCGATATAATTCAGCATATATAAATTTTATGTATGTAGCAATTTTTAAAGCAAGTTTAAAATCATAAATTAGTGAATCGTTCTCATATTGCATGTTCAGCTGTTTGGGAAGCAATTATCCTTCCTTAGTTGAAAAAAGTCTACATTTTTCTAAGATGGGCTTCTCATTTGCTCAAATTCCAGATAATTTACATGTATCGTGCTGGTTAAGCTTGCGTGCATCATTCAACACACATGCAAGAACTACTGTAGGTAAATTTTTGAAATTAATTATGTAAATAGTGAAGTATCTAGACGTTGCTGCAAGAGAGAATAAGATAAACCATACCACGGCCGGGATTGAACCCGCGGTCAGTCTCAAAACTCCAGACCGTCGCGTTAGCCACTGGACCAGCTAGCCACAATAAGATTCGTCCAACTAGGTATATTTCTACACCATAGGAAGGTTAGCATAGGCACCACTGTGACCACAAATGCAAGTTTTTACAGACGAATCTCCAGCTAGCGTGTCCGTGACGAACTCTAGCTCAAGTCCCCTCAATGCCGTCAACATGACTCACTGACTCTCTGACCGCGGGTTCAATCCCGCCCGTGGTATGGTTTGTTTGCAATCGTGTCATTACGATTTCGTGAGTCAGAATAAGATAAACATTAACTGAATTTTTCTAATATCTATCTATACATATATATATGTATATGTATAGATAGATGGATAGATATATAATGCGGTATTTAATCCAAATTAATTTAATAATAAAAATAAAAGATGAAAGAGCCTAGCATGTCCATTTTTTGGGGTCAGTAAAAACACTAAGTTATGCATGGAAACAGCAATGTTTTCTGCTATATAAAGACGAAGTGTCTTCTTAGGTACTTATCTTTATATATAAAAGAAGACAATTCTTTAGATGTAAAGTAAAAGGACACAAGTGCAACTAATGTCACATTAGTTGCACTTGTGTCCTTTTACTTTACATATTGTCGGTAATTCTTCCAACATATATACCATTATTTAGATAGCAGAGCACGTTGATGCCCTTGATGGATAACACAAGTGATTTCAAGAAGTGCCTTTATAGCCACTCATCTTCATGCACTATCTAGGGAGGTTCCTTGACACTGGTGAAGAGTTCTTTATCCAAGGAATTAGAGCTGCCCTTCCCTTCCTTGGATCAAACTTGACTTCATCCTATTCCCCAGGGGCCGTGTAATCCCTACAGCCTCTGTGCTTCCTCGTATATCTAATAATAACATAGACAATAACAGACAAACTTAACTTTGGCTCATGCACAAGAGTAATGAAGCGAACATCAAGAATATATACACTGTGAAGTAAGTATCTTAGTGTATACACAACGAGAGGTGTGTGTGTTTCTCGCAGTGTACATATATCGTGATATGTATCTGAGGGTATATAAAACGAGTTTACTTGATCTTTATATTAGGTCATAAAGTATTCCTGAATGGAAGTGTACATGTGAAATTCACCCTCATGTAGTCGATAGGTTTCAAACCTAATGAAGCAGATAACCAAGTGAATATCTAAATTTAAAACAAAATTGTAGAAAGAAAATTTAATATTATTTACTGAGTAAACTAAATCAGTGTATTTATATTTATTTTGAAAATTTTAATGTATACTGAATACACACATGTAAAACTTTGAGAATAAAGATGTAAATGTACGTGAATCTGAAATAGCCATAATGAATACTTGTATCTTTTTCGAGACGTGTAGAAGGCTCGAACTCTGTAAATATAATCGCAAGCCAGACAGGCAGCCTATCACTACATGATCATCTAATAATGAGTCTTGTAACATAAGCACAATCTGCGACTCATTGCAAGTTTTTGCATAAATCACTTCCCCTCCTCCCCCCCCTCTCTCAAACACGCACACACACACACACACACACACACACACACACACACACACACACACACACACACACACACCGTGAGAAAAGCTAGCGAAGTAGGCAGGAATAATAGAGAAGGCACTACAATGGATCGAGGAATACCTAACCAGAAGGAAACACCGAGTGACCGAGCTGTCGGAGTGGGTACTAGGAACGGTGCTATTTTTTTTTTTTGTATACGTGAGCTACATTATGGAAGGGATACAGTCAGAAGTATTTCTGTTCTCAAATGAAGTAAAACTAATGAGTATAATACAGACAGGTGAAGACCAGGAAAGACTACAAATGGACCTGGACAGGCTGCAGGTCTGGTCTGACAAGTTTCTACTGGAATTTAAGTGTAAAGTTATGAAGTTTGGGGGAGGAAAAAGACTGCAGACGGAGCAAAGGCTGTAAACCTCCCTGATGGAGAAGGACCACAGGGTAAGTACTGTTACGAGCATATCGCTTTAAACAAACATCAACCGAACAGCTGCTGCGACAAATGCGCGTCTAACAATCGAAGACGAGATTTCAGAAATCTAAGCAAGGAGTCATTCACGACTCTGTATACGGTGTACGTTTGACTCATACTGGAGTACGCAGCACCAGTATGGAACCCACGCCTTGTCAAGCACGTCAAAAACTGGAGAAAATGCAGAGGTTTGCAAGGAGACTAGTCCAGGAGCCAAGTGGTATGTCCTGTGAAGGAAGATTAAGGGAACTAAGTCGATGACATTAGAGGAAAGAAATACTACAGGTGATATGATAATAACATACGCATTACTGACAGAAAGTGAGAAGGTGGACAGGGGTAGATTGTTCGAGAGACGGGAAACAAGAATACAAGGACACAGCTGGAAGTTGAGAACACAGATGAGTTGCAGGTATGTTAGGAAGTATTTCTTCAGCATTAGAGAAGTCAGGAAGTGGAACGACATGGAGAGCGGGGTGGTTGAGGCCGGATGTATGCATAGCTTTGAGAAGAGGTACGATAAGACACTAGAAGCCAGGAGAGCAAACCCAGTAGCAACCAACGAAGAGACGGGGTCAGATGAGATTCGGCCCCAGCAACCACATATAGATGAGTACATACACACATACAAACACACACACTCTGGAAAGTGATGTAGTGGAGGCAGGATCCATACATAGCTTCAAGAAGAAGTATGATAAAGCTCATGGAGCAGAGAGTGAGTGGACCTAGTAGCGACCCGTGAAGAGGCGGGACCAGGAGCTATGACTCGACCCCTGCAACCACAATTAGGTGAGTACACACACAATACGGATTCCATGCTGAGATAAGTGTCTAGCAAGAGAACGAACGTATTGCATGTTGAAGAAATTGAGTCACATAAAGAGGAGACGAGCGATTAGAGACTACGAAAATAACCTCCTCAGATTGGTAGCTGAGGCAGTTACTGCCTGGAGTTTCATGCTGGTAGCTGAGGCAAGCTACTGCCTGGAGCTTCATGCTGTTAGCTGAGACAAGTTACTGCCTGGAGCTTCATGCTGCTATCCTTTAGCTTCATGATGGTAGGTGAGACAAGCTACTGCCAGGAGCTTCATGCTGCTAGCTCAGGCAAGTTACTGCCCAGAGCTTCATGCTGGTAGCTGAGACAAGCTACTGCCTGGAGCTTCATGCTGGTAGCTGAGGCAAGCTACTGCTTGGGGCTTCATGCTGGTAGCTGTGTCAAGTTACTGCCTGGAGCTTCATGCTGGTAGCTGAGGTAAGCTATTGCATGGAGCTTCATGCTAGTAGCTGTGTCAAGTTACTGCCTGGAGCTTCATGCTGGTAGCTGTGCTAAGTTACTGTCTGGAGCTTCATGCTGGAAGCTATGTTAGGTTACTACCTGGAGCTTCATGCTGGTAGCTGAGGCAAGCTACTGCTTGGGGCTTCATGCTGGTAGCTGTGGCAAGCTACTACCTGGAGCTTCATGCTGGTAGCTGTGGCAAGCTACTGCCTGGAGCTTCATGCTGGTAACTGTGGCAAGCTACTGCCTGGAGCTTCATGCTGGTAGCTGTGGCAAGCTACTGCATGGAGCTTTATGCTGGTAGCTGAGGCAAGCTACTACCTAGAGCTTCATGCTCTTGGTAGTGAAGGCAGCCTGGTCCCCAAGATGAAGACATTTGTGGCGTTATTTTTTCATTATTATTATTATTATTATTATTATTATTATTATTATTATTATTATTATTATTGGGATACTTGACACAACTAGGTGCGCCAGTTTTTGTTTGAAAATGACTTTCTGTAGAGCATTTTTAAAAAGCTTCTTCCAGTTGGCTAAGTGGAGCCAATGGGTGGGTGAGTGGAAGTGACAGGCAGGTGGTGGGTCGGCTGAGAGGATGGGAAAGTGTGCAGTGGGAGGAGGAGGATGAGGAGAAAGAAGAGGCTGGGAGAGAGTAGGAGGTTGTGGAAGTATTACCTTTGGTCGGAGGCGAGCTAGAAGAGCGACGAATCTGCAGGTCCGTTGTGGCAGCAGCAGTGAGAAGGGTGGTGGGGAGTTAAGGTTAGTGTACAGGGCGTACTCACTGGCTAGCTGAGGTTAGTAGGGCAATGATCTAGTCCTAATTTGAGGGATGGCGTAAAGGCACTTTTTTTTAATTAGTCTTGGTTAGTGAGGTAGTGTACAATAACTCACTTTTTAATATTTGGTGGTTAGGATGCAATGTACAAAATGTTTACTAAGATCACTTAATTTAGGAAATGGGAATGTACAAGTTAGATTAACTGAGCCTAGTAACTACTTGGGGATGTAATGTACACAAGTAGTAGCAGGGAGCAAAGCGCTCATCACCCTGTACCCAAGCAAGTGTTCCGAAACCACGTACAGGAAGCTGCTCTAAGACACTATTGGGTCTTGTATCCGTTTTTTTTTTTTTTTTTTTAGAATAAGAAAGCAGGGACAGAATTTTGAAGTACTCTGGTCACAGACAGCTAAGTGTTACACTCCGGACTTGAGCTTCATCATACATCACCCACCACACACTGCTCAATTGGTATTAGATTTAAAAACCACCTGAGGCGGCAGACGGAGGGAGCTGACGATGATTACCACTCGGGTAATAGAGAGTTTACCTGGAGGAGCTCTTTATTCAGGGAACTAGGCTTGTCCTCCCTCTGCCTTGGACTGAACCTGAATGCCTCCCATTCCCCTGGCGCTGTGTGATCTCTACAGGTTAATGAAGCGCTTCCCCTTAAAGAAAATATAATGAAGGTGATGATTGCAGGACGGACTTTCGGAAGTTGATTACATGGTATAAACAAAACTAAAACACTCACACAGTTAATTAAACTAGAAACAGGAGACGAAGAAATATTAACTATACAGGAAGTATAAAAATTAGGTGAGGGAACATTAAATATACAGGAAGCTGAGTAGAGAAGAGAGGTGAGGGAACATAAATTAACTATATAGGAAGTGGAGAAAACAGCTGAAGGAATACTAATTATGCAGAAAGGTGAATAGGTAAGGTGAGAACATGAAAATAAATAGCTCTCTTCAGGTAAACACTCAATGGAAACGAGATATATATAGCCAGAAGTAAAATATAACATGAAATGCACTGGCAACGTCAATAATAAATAGTCTATGGAAAACATTTATAGAAAACGGCAGTGAGTGAGAGTGAAGGTGAGGAAGGTGGGGGAAGGATATTGTATACGTCTCGTCCCAGAATATAACAGCAGAGAATGACTCGTGGCCATACTGAGAGACGAAAATAAAGTTAAGCGTCTAAGAAACGACATGGGGCCGTATGTGGGGTCCTCTGACAGGATATTGGAGGAAGGCGAGTGGAAAACACGAAAGAGGGGAGGTTGCGAATAGGGAAACACCAACTTTAGAATAACATGGTCTTCTAGACCATGAAAGGCGGGTCTTATTTGCACCCATCCATGTTCACTAATATCTGCCTAACCTAGTGTTGTTTGGGTCCCCTGGCCACAGGCGACAGCTTGCTACGTATGTTGTGACAAACTTTGGCAACTGTCCATGGATGCGGCTTCAGATTGACTCCTGAATGGGGGGTGGCTGGGTCTTCGTAAACACTACTCCGGCTCAGATGGTCGTGGTTCATGGTACCTATGGCTCTCTTCTAGAAATTACATATATGTATTTAAATGTACTAGAAATTATCATGATGTATACAATGCAGACAAAGTTCCCAACCACCAGGAGAAAGAGAATAGAGAATAGAAAGGAACAGAAACAGTCTTTGTAGTCAGCTGTTTATAAATTGCAGTTTATTATTATTATTATTATTATTATTAGTAGTAGTAGTAGTAGTAGTAGTGGTAGTAGTGGTGGTGGTAGTAGTAATAGTAATAGAAGTAGTGGTATTTTCAAGGGGAAGCTGTAAACTAGCGCCTGGTGACTGGGAGATAATCAGGCTTGGCCTGAGAAAATGCGAGTAGCTCCAGTTCAATGGATCAAGAGCCGTTCACCAGCTTCAAGGCAAACCCCGGTACAGATAACAAAGGGCACAAGTACGTAGTGAAATTCATCGAGTGACAGTGAATCAGCGTTCATTTAGTCTTGAAGTCTTGTAGAAGTGTGTTATAAAACTTAAGTTATTCTTGATTCCTGCTGAGTGATATTCGTTAATAAGCTCCGAGCTTTATCGCGTTTGTTTTAATAAGTAATCAAACCCCTCATCTATAACGCTTTTTTGGGTATATAATAATAATCCTCACGTTACGCTATTTTCAAACTTTTCAGCAAATCTATTTTAATGACGTTATAAAACACTGTTATAAAATGTTATTGATGATACTTGGCATTTTTTCCTCATTCATTTACAACTCTAATGCTAAAATAATGCCTTAGCAATAGAGTTGAAAAATTTAAATTTAAACAATCTGAATTCATTGTTACTACTTACATTTTGTTATATTTTTAACTCCTTATGTCCTCCATATCTCTACATTTAAGGCATCTCTACACTTAAATCATGCCATATGTTATTCCGTTGTTTCAAGAGACTTAAACACTGTTACTTGTGGTCGAGATTACCACTCAGTTTTTTTTTTTTTTTTATCAGAACGTATGTGTGGCCATTCTATGACATAGAGACCAGAAGGAGTGTAATAATCTAGATATGGTCTTTCTATTGCATGTCTTGATATAATGCCAAGCAATCAAGTAACTGGTGTTCTTCCTGGTAAATAAGCTGATCTACCAGCGAGTGTCGACCAACAAAGGTAAGATGTTGCTGGAGGCTCGGCGTCTCTTGCTCTTATATTTTGGGGAAGTAAGGCAAAAATCTCCCACTTTAATACCTTGTCTTCTTTATCAGGCTGATAGCTTGTTGATGGCTTTAGTTTCCTCTAGAGTGTTTGCGTTTCTTTTACAGTGACTGTAGGACATTTACTATAGACAGCCAACCTTTTCATTGTAGAGTTATATGTACTTCTCGCTGTTGTTAAAAGCTTCTTAACCATGTTATCGTTCCTTGTCGTTTCAGACTCTCTAAGTGCGTTATATGCGAAGCTGAACTTTGGCTTCCCTCACTCAGATAAGCTAGTGATGCTACAGAGTCATTTTACAGAATAAGGCTAATGAATAAGTGGAATTATCTAGGGATGATGAGGTAAAAGGTAAACTCCATGTATAGATTTTAAGGAAAATATTGTAAGAACGGTAGAAAATGGGAAGCAAATGCGCCAGCAGACTGAAGATGAAGAGAACTGACCTGTAATTTGATCACTTATCCCTGTGAGAGCACCTCTCCAAGGAAGGTTGTCTGTAATACCTCTACCGACAATGGAGGGACACGGTAAAAAGAGGAGATATGATCACGATTTGTAAAATACTTTGGGTTATCAACAGGGTGTACAAGAACATCTTTAGCATTAGAGGACTCAGAGACATTAGAAAGCAATTTCTCGACATAACGGTTGTCAAGGTCGTAGAACTAGCGAAGAAGCGATAAAGAAAAGGCTGATTCTAAGCACAAGGATATAAAACTTGAAATGGCAGATATAAACATCGTCAGCGGATCGGAAGTTAAGAAGCAGTACCAGAAACCAGAGCTCGACTAGTGAAAACTCTACTAGCTAATTATCCATCATACTACAGGAGCCAAGATGACTCACATCTGACAATATTTATGCTGAAAAAACAGTCATTATCTGTACACACACAGGCATATACATGACCCACGTATCTTCAAGCCTGTCAGTCCCTCCAGTGAGGCTCCTTCATGATGGTGAGTATCAAGTGGTCCAAAGAATTGGTTTTATTCTCCCTATCCTTTCGATCGGACATGGTTGTGCCCTATTGGCAACTACTGAAGGTGCCAAAGTATTTATTAGAATTATAAATATCATGTTTGTTAAGACTCAGGTTAGTGCACTGAATTCAAAATCTTTTGACAGAAGTGGAAAATGTTCAGGTGTACTTTCAATAGTTTTTTATATCCGGAATCTAAACCTAGAGCGCCATAGATGGTAACACTGCAGGGAGGGTCTATGTGCGTGTTGGCTTCACTGTGTCACACTGCAGGGAGGGTGTATGTGTGTGTCGGT